TCTGGGCAAAACCATCAGACTTAACTACGATGTGCTGGCCTAATTAGCCTCATTAAAATCCCACAAATGCAAATGTACAATTAATGCCCCACATCTATCCTCAGGACTCTTGTTAAAGGAGACTGTGAACAAAGGAGGTGGAGGTCCCGGACACAATGCAAGATTTTCCTAATTGCGGCCTTCAAAGAGCAGAAATCTGAAGCTCGGTTCTGTTGTGCTGCGTGTATTTTACAGTGTTTCTGTATCAGCTTTCCGCCTTGTGTTAAACCATACAGTATAGAAAGCAAACAGCGGGTCCAGCTGGCGCTCAACAGAGAGACAAGAATTCATCCTTTTGATAAGATTCTCTTAAATACATCGGCCGCTAGAAATGCCATTAAATGTCAGCTGTCTGTTCCTGGCTTGACAACACACACACACACACACACACACACACACACGCAAGACATGTTTTTCCTCTTCCTCACCTTAAAACACTGTTGGAAGGTCATACAAAAGAGGATCAGGGCTTGAGCCAGTCGAACGGAAATGAACCAGCTTTTTCTTTAATGACATTCACAGAGAATATAATGGGGGACAGAATAGCGGCCCTGGCGGACCATTCTTCAGCTGGCATTCATGCAATTTGCAGCATGGCTAATGCATGATGGGATATGACAGTTGGTCTTGTTGCTTTGTTTCAGCGGGTCAAACAGAGATGAATAAAGTCTGCCGCTGTGAAAAAACGAGGCGTGTGTCACCCTCGTGGCTCTGTGGAAAACTCCTCTCCAAATTAAACCAGCTGTCCTGTTTTTATCAAACACCTTTCACCAGTCTGTCAGGGAAGGACGTAAAAACCTCCTGTTAATGTCATGAACAATAAAATGAATATGCAGCGAGTAGCTCATGAAAAAGGGCAAAGTGCTACAGAGCCGAGCGTTGTTACTGAAATGGTCATAAACTTAGCTAAACAATGGAGGAATTCATTTTGGCTTTATGGTGGGGGTTCATTGGTTTATTAATGTTTTATGTTGAGAATATAAAACCACAGTGTGGATAAAAAGAGAGAGTTGAGGGCCTGACGCCATTTTTCAAGCTAATGTGTTAATTCCTTGCATTATTGAGTCAACTTCTAGCATATAAGCTAGCTAACCAGAGAAAATGCTAGCCGTGATGCTAACTTTCACTATGCAAAGCTCCTTTGACTTATGCTAAAAACGTTAGCGACTAACAGGTCCGCTAGCTGCAATGCTAATTCTCGCCATGTTAAACCCCATATGATTATGCTAAGAGTATTAGCGATTTAAAAACTGTTCTGCCATGTTGTTGTATTAAAGACACTGTTCTTTATTTGGTTTTATGTTTTGTGTGTTAATTGGTAAAGATAGTAAAGATTGTTAGCGTTGATGTTTTTACATTTTAAGGTTGCATCAGTCGAGGTTGTTATTTGTGTTTGTTTCATTATGCATCTTAACTGCATTTGAGATTAAGAATATTTTAAAGGTGCACCAGTTACTAAATTTAGGTTTTTAATTATGCACCTTAACTGTAAATTAGGTTTTAGTAACAATATTAGCTCTCTGTTAACTAGTTTTGTTGGTTATAAATGAAATTGTGAAACTGTGTTGGACAATATAGGTTTGTGAAATGGAGACTTAAGTTCATTTCCTTTATACTAAGACCAGTAATGCTCACAGAATTAGCATGACAGTAATTGTATTTAGACCTTATTTATAGGACAGGTTCTCTTAAGGTGGTTCCTGACCTCAGAGGAGATCTCAGAGATTCCAGAGACCAGAGAACCTTTAACGGTACTGGATGGCGAACCCAGCCCACAAGAGACAGAACCTGCTGCCTGCAGTGAGAAGGCTGTGAACGAAAGAACACGTACTTTGTACTTTGTGGTAACATTAAATGAACGAGATAATGAACTTTTCGGATTTCCCTCTATTTCCAGGATTTATGCTAAACTAAGATAATCATATCCTGGCTGTAGCTGTTAGAATAATCTATCTTTTCATCCAACTCCAGTAAGAATGCAAATACATTTATTTCCTAAAATGTCAAACTAGTTCTTTAACTGTACCAAGAATTAGCGTTAAAGAGTGCCATAATCTGTTTTACATAGTGGATTTCACATTTCAGTTTTTAGAAAGATGCTTTAAATGCTCACCTTCCTTTAGATTATTATAGATTAGATCAAACAGATCAGAGGTTAAAGTTTTCCACTGTCACTCCACCAAGGTTGCTAAAATCCCTACATTTAAAAAAACCCAAACACAACCGTATGCCCTCAGTGTCCTCAGTGGTAGCTGTGCGTCGTGACAGGAAGTCCTCGCTCTCACCTCTGTGACCACGAGCCCTGAGGCTGCTGAAGGTGCAGATGTGTCTGTTAGGGGCAGCTGGATCTGTTTCTCAGGTATCACTGAAGGTTCACTGCACAAGGGCACAGAGAGAGAGAGGACAAAGCGCGCACTCACACACACAAATACACACACACACACACACACACACACACACACACACACACACACACACACACTTGGCCTGAGATAAATTATGTTCACAAAGGAAACAAACACAGAACTTTGGTTAACAGTTTTTGAATATTTACTTATATTATTGTAATAGAGTCAGAGTTGTGTTTGGCAGTAAGAGAAAATGTGTTTTTATTTTTATTTTGCTGCTTTTAGAGTCTGCAGCAAGTGAACACGTCCAAGGCTGTCAAACACTCTCAAGACCACTGACACATGCAGAATGAACTGATACCAGTACAGTTTGTCGGAGAGGTATTGCTCAATATAAAGGTCAACAGAGCGGAACTATTTCTGTTGAGAAAAAATGACATGAGGGGTGTCGGGAATACTGGGAAAAAATGCCTTGAGTGATCAGAAACCACTTCGATGTCATAGACCTCGACACCTCTATACACTTAGATATATATCACATACAGACGGAAAAGAAGGAAAAGAAAAGAGAAAGATGAAGATCTGGGTAGTCTGTTCCAGATCAGCAATCAGGACTGTCAGCCTCTTGGTACTCTGGCTTTTCAAATTGACAATATTCTCAAAGTGTTATCCACAAAGAGGAGAGGCTGTTATATATAGGCCTGGAGAGATGGCCCTCTGGACAAATATACAGGTAGTTACACAAGCACGCGCACACAACGTGTGCACATTGCCTCAAACAGCAGAGAATCAAACAACTGAGTGAAACCAAGAATTGGTTTTTGAAAAGAAATGAAGGCAGACAGAACAAATTTTCCTCCAGGAAAAAGAAGCCATGGTGGCACTGTGTGTGTGTGTGTGTGTGTGTGTGTGTGTGTGTGTGTGTTTGACAGCACTTTCACAATTTTCTGTTCTCTGCCTCTGTATCACTAATTGCGTTGCATTGTGAGAACATCTTCCTCAACAACAAGTGAAAAAGAGTCTTTCATCCATCACAACAGCTGAGTGACAGAGCCTCCACAGAACACCTTCATGTCAGTTCAAGGACACTGAAATGCTCTGATTTTGTGCACCAGACACCTTTTTGATTGCAGGTCCTTCACACCAAAGAATCTGAAGCCACTGTGATGAATTGTGTGTGTGTGAGAGAGAGACAAAAAGACTGAGGGTGGAAGCTAAAAAAAGCAATGCTGTTACTCCCTCTAGTGGTTCAACTCTTGCATTGTTCAGTAGAAAGTACATACAGTATGAATACACAATGCTCTGGGTTATATTGTACATACATAGAGAAACATGTACATATACCAAAATGCTAAAAAGACAAAGATGTCACAAATGTCACATCCTCCAAGAAGAACAGTACTCTTTCAAGCAGTCATGCTGTACGGTCATATGTTGATCTATACTGAAAATACAATCAATAAGAAAAGCTTAACTGTTGATCATTTTCAGCAAATCCAATTTAATTAAATGAAACAGACAAATAAAAGCAACTTTACTCACTGATATTCAGTTATATTCTAACTTAAAGTTAAACTGCAAAATAGGAAAAAAAAAAAAAAACTGTTTGTTTAAAATCCTGTTAGATTGAATTTAGATGATTTTGTTAAACATACTGTGATCAAGAATGAACTTGCTTGCACAGATTGTCAGGGTTACAGATGTTACACAACCTCTTTAATCCCCAATTGGCTCTTTGATTACTAAAGACTAAATGTCACAAAATAATATTAATAAACAGCCAGGCAAATAAAAAACAGGATTATTACTATTACTCAATTCAATTATTCAATGTGATCTATTGTAGCCTACTGATTGGCCAACTATTGATTTAAAAAAAAAAATACAAATATTAATATATATTTTCCTAATTAAATATTAGTTAAAGGAGCACTCTATAGATTTATCACATCAAGATCAGATTAATGTTAAAAACTGCTGTATGATGTCTTTTCTTGGCTCAAGTCTGAAAAAATAACCCCTGATGATGTCATAGTGATGTCACCTGGTTATCTCAGCTTTGGCTACGAAAGAAAATGTGTAACAGAAGTCCCACTGTGTGAACTGGGGGTTTTAATCCAAAAATATATGGGTGTTTACAAACTAGGGAGGGTCTAATGATTAAAAAAAAGCTGTTGAGTTGCATTATGGGAAATGTGTTTCCGGAGCTTGTCCTAGTCTGGATCTCTCAGCCTCTGCTGCTTCAATTTTAACCATTCTTATTTTAACCTGTTTCCCACAAGTCCCTCAACTTTATAGAAATACAATACCACATTTCTGGAGTAAGTAAGTCATTCATTTGGTAATTAATAAAGATTTGACAAAATATTTACAGCTCAAATTACAGGAGGAAGACAAATAGTAAAAGTAATGGGAACGTGGTGTAGATTATATTACATAAATAATATTGTAAAACAATTACTGAATGTTCAGTAGAGATTCATCTGGAAAGTTTACCCCGGAGGTATCTAGGTATTTTCTTGGAAGTCTTGCCTGCAGGTGGCGGTAAGTTCAAACTAAATCAAGAGGCCGAGCTGAGCAGCAGTGATGGCAGTAAACACACTGGAACACACGTTAATAAAAAACATTTTATTAAAGAAGAAGTGGGATGGTTTCCCTATATTCTATACATTATGTGCTATACAATGTAGAGGACAGACAGAGACAGACAGTGCAGGAGTGCTGACCCAGGTTCAGTTTGGTGTTTTAATTCACTTTCCCTTTTTTTTTTTTTTTTTTGCATTAAGGAGTTCATTGTCAGAAAGCAGTTAACAGGTCCAGCGACCGTATGCAGCACCCATTTGTTTCATTGGAGATAAAAATAAAAGCAAAAACTCAAACCTGGAACATCACTGCACACACACTGATGTGGGTAAATCACTGTGTGCAGTGACTCCAGGGCCGATGCTGGAGGACAACTTACAAGAAACTATGAAAAGTTGAATATCTACTTTTGCCCTTATTCATAGTTAAATGTGAATTTAGCAGAGCCTAACAGACCAGATTGGAACACTATGAAGGTGTGTGAGTTTCAAATTGTAGTTTGTGTATTTTTAGCCGGTGAAATTACAATAGTGCATTACAACAACTGCACGCGGGATGTCTGTTAATGTTTGGGCTCCCTGACCCAGGATCAGAGCTCCTACAAGGTGAGATCAATGCTGGCAGCTGTTCATACGGAAATGATTGTAGAACTTGATGACTGAAATGCTACTCGACTTTTCAATCTCCAAACATTTTTAGCAAAAAAGCGTTTGACTGTCCACTACAAAGGAAATCCAGTAAACCCCCGTGTCCTACCACAGCAATTAAGATTTTGATGATTATCCATTTTTCACCTGAAGGGAAAATGTTCACGTTTGAGTCGATTAAATGCATATATTTAACTAAACTGGGGCTGTGAGTGTGAAAGCTTGGACATGGAGGTTTTCAGCCGGTGGTCACTCAATCAAAGGTTTTTATGGTGTCAAACGGAAAATCTGAATGAATCCGATTCATGAAAAATGAACAACATGGGGAGCTGATCAACAGCAACAGTCAGCATCTTCATCTCATATGCACATGGAGCGAACCTCACTAAATAACACCACTAACACTCTTGGTTTTTACTTTATATTGTCAGAATAGAAAAATGTATAACCATTAAATTCTTTAAACGTGGACTTTCATTTGGAAATATTTACATTTTTTTTTTTTTTAAAGAAACATCTGAACAGTTATAGTTGCTATTGTTTATGCAATGACAAGAAGTGAGGTTGTTGTGGTTGTTGAGAGGATTGTTTCTTTCGACAAGGTCCATCTCTCATACAGACAGAAAAGCACAAAGTGTAAACCAAGCAGGGAAACCACACCTCAATACAAACTAAACTAACATTATAACATTCTTTACATCAGTCAGTTCTCGGTCGAGGTAAAGCCAGATGCTCTTTTACTTCTCACCAATGCAAACAGCTACGAAAACTATTAAGATCAACACCATCAGATATTAATATAAGGCGTAAACAAAGTGGGCAACAAAGGGGCTTTCCGTCTGTATGAGCCATGGTTGTCTTCATGTCACTGGAAGCAGAATCTTCTGCCAGTGTGTGTGGGTAATTCAAAATCTCTGTATGTGATTGTGATTGGACAGCTGACCTGACACACTAAAAAACCCTGGATTTTAAGGAGGAGACAGTGGAGGACTAGGGTTAGACCGATATACAGGTGTACCAATACTGACCATAAATATTGTCTATGCTGCAGACTCCTACGCCTCGTGCTGTAAGTGCTGTTCTTTTCCACATTAACCCGGACTAATCTCCATCAGGAACACTATTTCTTTCTGGAATAACTGTACTGAACATGATCGGATTGAATCGTTTTAATAGCTGCTACGAATACAAAATTGAAAGAAAAAAAAAAAAAAAGTCATTATCGGACCCATATCGGTTGAACCCTAGTGAGAAGATGCGAAGCCACTGGTGCTGACGTGTAAAGATGCAAATATACACATACATACATTTTTGCATAAACTCTATGTACATACATTATGTGTGTGTGTGTGTTGGGACTAGATTTGGCAACCAGGCTGAGGAAAAAAAACAAAAACAAACGGTTTGTTTTTCTCTCATTAATAAGGCATGCCATGTAAGGTGGCCCTGTGTGACTCGGGGGAGCTCAGTCTGACAGCAGCTGTTATTTACGTCCTCGCGCTCGGCGTACTTTCAGTAATTTTACCTCATGTTTTGCAGAATTTTGAGACGTCTGTTTTTAGGGTGTTTCCTCTGCGTGTCACAACAAGCTCTGGAAGTTTGATTTACTGGACTTTCCCTTCACAATCTCGCACGGCTGACTTCACTGCTGCTGTGATGTCATCACTTGGCGACCGCCTCGGCGACGATACCGGAACGTTCAGAGCGGCGCTGGATCGCTCCTCCAAGGCATGACATCATCTCGACATGAAGCTCGTTAAGTCTGCTGGCCAGCCCGTCTCTATGATGTCACAACTGCCCCACTGTGATGTCATACCCCACGCTCCAATAACTGGAAGCCTTGTCTGTCAATGCCATCGTCGTCGTCGTGTCAGATATTTGACAGTCGTCGTCCGCGGCTGGCGCCCAGGGAGGCTCGCAGCCTCGGCTCCCTGGCTCTGTGGGCGAGAAGACAGTCAGTTACAAAATGTTTAAGATTTCCATGGTCATAATAATTCTAATTTGAACCGCGGGCAGTTTTGTTGGAATATTGTTGGGTTGAATCAAAAACAGTGTAAAGGACCAAAAAGTGACATTTGATATTGCAAATATAGCAAAGAGCAGAAGCTTAGATTAGGATGCTTTGGATTTTGGCACAGGAGAACCACAGAAAACATTTAAATGAGATCATTTCTGTGTCCTGCGAACCTGTAGTGTTCATTGAAGTCCAGTCTGAAGCTGAGGAAACGCAGACTCTCGTCTGAATTGGTCATCAGCAACACCAGGAACTGCTGAACGATGCTCTGAAAGAAGGAGAAAGAGAATAGAACAAAGATGTGAAAAGGTGAAGACTTCAGGAGCCGAATGATTGACGGCTGCTCCTGGAGCCGGCTCCAGCTGGTACCTGGTAGAAGTGGGTGAGGATGCGGAGCTGCGAGCGCATCTTTGGTATGGTTTCCTTGAACTCCTGAATCCTCTTCTTCTCCTCCGCTTCCTGTTCGGCCGTCACTCCCCACTGACCCTGAATCAAACAGCAGACACGTATTCAGACAGGACTACGCAACACATTTATGTTTCCATCATTTCACTCTGTTTCTCTCTGTATTTAGTCCTCCTGCCTGTCCTACCTCCCCCTCTCTCTGTCGCTTCTTCTCTTCATACTGCAGTCGGAGGGTGAGTTCCTCCAGAGCCGAGCGGTAGAGGGAGTCCTGGGCGCTCTGGAACTCGATGATCTGGTCAAATATGGCCCTCAGCTGGTTCAAAAGAGACTGGATGGACAGACAGAAACAGAGTTCAAGAAGCGTGTGTGGAAAAGGGGCAGATAAATTACCACTCACCCATAAGATTATTTGTGTGTGTGTGTGTGTGTGTGTGTGTGTGTGTGTTACCCTGCTGTTATTGTCCAGCAGGCATCTTGAGATGATGGTGTCGAGGAAGACGTCGTGTGCAGCGATGATGTGGTCGAGGTCCTGAGCCTGCTGCACTTTGTTCCACAGCTCGTCCCAGGAGCACTCCAGCACCTACACACACACACACACACGCACGTGCATACATTTTACCAACAGTTTATGGGAATGACATTGCCCTTTTATTAAAAATCAGATATCATACAGTCAGTGTGGTCCACCTCTGATACGATGGCGGTGCATCCCTGTCCACTGTCAATATGTTGATTTTTTAGAATTTAGAATTTTATCAATGTCTGAGCAGAGGAATGTTTTATTTACAGAGTTAACTCAACAGTAAAACCTGCAGTCAAAGCAGCCTCATAAGTGTGACTCTAAGAAAAGTTTTAGTGTCTCATGCACTTAATTGTTTTGCAACTGATTCGAACTCGAACTAGCAACCTTCTAAAACTGAGTGAACCTCACTAGTGTGGAGGCTCCTGTTGATCCTGTAAGTCAGAGTCATGCAGCGTTGCATTTAACAGACACAGCAGATCGCCTCCCACTGTAATTACTACTTTCTTTTACTGCTGTTTTACAGCCTGCGCCAGTAGCAGCATTGTTAATGGGCTGACCTCGAAGGTGATGTAGTACTGCATTTGGTGGATGAAGTGGACCATCTCGGAGGCCAGGATGTGACACTGATGCAGCACGCCGGACAGCTCTGGAGGGTAAAAAGCACAGAGGCAGGTAGAGTCACAACAGGCTGCAGACGTTACACCCAAAATGATTTTTTCATTTTGCTCTTTAAAGAAACATAGTGATGACAAAAATGTAACGAATCTTTAAAAATATACTGCAAGTTTTGTGCAACTGGCATTTTTTTTACTACAAAAATAAACAAAAATCAAGAACTTGACAGAATTGCATAATTACATTATTGTTTACAATAATATATTTGTGTGGTACCTTCACAGTTTCTGTAATAAAAAGTCTTTATTATTTTATTTGATGAATAAATTTTGCAATTAACCAACCTTAATCAGACTGTCACATAAGAACAGAACTACTATTTTGTGTGTGTGTGTGTGTGTGTGTGTGTGTGTGTGTGTGTGTGTGTGTGTTTACGTACCAGGCATGGTTTTGAGCAGTTTGGCATTACACATCTGTCCCTTCCAGATGTCAGTCAGTGTGTACTCCATCCTCTTGGCCCTCCACAGGAAATTAAACACCCGCAGGTAGTGGCCCATACACTCCCTTGTAAACACCTGAAACACACACACACACACACACACACACACACACACACACACAGACATATTTATACATGGTAACAGCAGCAATTGTAATTGTAATTGCAGAGATACAAACATACACAGCCTGTTTGGAACTGTACTGAAAGTGTGTGTTTCCGTGTGTGTGAGATACCGTAGCAATGGGTCCATCAACATGGTAGTCCAGACTGAACACATCCCAGCCCGTATCACCAGGAGACACCTGGAGCCAACAAAAGACAGACATCATAAGGTGACATGCGAGAGTCAGACCTGCAGCACAGCGTCCCCTACCCACACACACACCAGCGGAAACACACACCTCTAGCAGACGGACATCCAGCCTCTTGAGGATCTCTGCGTTGTCAAACTGGGCGTTTGTGGCTCTGACTGCCGTCTCTAAGATACCAGTCAGGTTGTGTTGGTACAAAGTAGTGGCAGGACGCACCAACTCCGGTCTGTGACAAACATAATCAGGATACCATCAGATAATGTTACTATCTCACTGTCATTCTACATGAGTTACAAGAGAGATATATTCGAAGTGCGTGCTGCTAACTTGAGCAGGTCCATGAGGTGTCTGATGAAGTCTCCCTGGCCCAGCAGCAGGTATCTCCTCATGGCCTGCAGATGCTCCAGCAGCAGGTAGTTGCGGTTGAGAACATCCAGCAGGTATTTGCTGGTGTCGAAGTAGGCAGCGTCGATCTTCTCCTGAAACGCCCCCTCCAGGTCAGACAGCAGCTCTGCAGCTAAGAGAGAGACGGACGTGAAAAGGTTTTTGTTTCAAAGTTGCCTAATGTTGAATAAATATTGGAAACACCAAATTTACCTCGGTGCTCTGTTTATGTCTATGTTGTTATATATTATATATTATGTGCTATGCTATATCTTTTTCTACATTTAAAAACCTGACAGAATTAACGTATTTCTCAATTCAGCATTGGTAAACAACAAGGGGTAATGAAAAGAAAGCTCAAAAAGTGCTAACACTGAGACTGTAATTAGGCTCAAACATGCAAATCTCCTCCCCAGACCTCCGCTACTGGACGATGAGGGACAGAAAAGGGTGATGCCCTTCAACAGATCCAGTAAAAAGCTCCAGATCAAACTGGTCAGATGAAGTCCTGCAGACTGAATCAATAGAACACGGCTAAGTATACCTCTTTCGTCTACATAGTCAAAAGCAGAGGAGGACGAGGCCAGCGAGCGGTAAGAGCATCGATCACTGCCAGTCCACTAGCTTACGTCAATATAACAATATCAATGCGATGAGGACGAAATAAAATGGAGGCGTCTTATTGGTCAATGATGCCATTAGTAAAATAACACAAAAAAGGAAAGAAAACAAAACAATAAAAAGCACCAATAAACACCATCAACCTTTACATGTTCAGCATATTGCTGTGTGCTACTGCTTCCTCCTAATGTTATACCTACTTAGGACTCTAACTCTTCCAATTACGCCCAGAAACCAAGTGCAGATAGAAATATTCTGTGAGAGAGACAATCTGAGACCCTTACCGTCTTTAGGTGTGTCTGCAGACTTGGATGCTGGCGTGATCTTGGCCGGCGGCGTTCGGTCATGACAAACCTGATGCAGGAAGTTGATGGATTTACCGATGAGCAGAACCTAGCAGTGAGAGAGATAATGAGTTAATATGACTTCAAACAGCAGCCTGGAGGTAATAGTTAGCTGCAGTCATCACACAAAAGGTGTAGCACTAATGTGTGTGTCAGCAGGCTGATACCTGCATGTGTGTGGCAATAAGTCTGGTGTATAGTAATAAATAAAGGGGTGTGTGTGACTGTGTGGGTGTGTGTACCTTGCGGGCCTGGTCCATGGTGATGAATGATGGGATCATTGACTTCCTGAGGGAGTATTTGTCGTGCCACAGACGATCTGTCTTCACGTTGGGATCTGATGCGACAAAGAACTGCATGCAATGCACACACACACACACACACACACACACACACACACACACACACACACACACACACAGAGTTTAAGACACAACGGGAAGTTTTATTTTCAGGGTTAGTGTGATATGCAACAATAACAGACTACGGACAGAGGTTTTCATCCTTAGATTGTCCATTGAGTTCAGAGGGTACTACAGTAGCTTCCACTGGCTCTCTAATGGCCCGTGTGAATGCTGATACATTTTTGAACCGACTCCAACTGTCAGCGTCGCTATGAAGCCGTCTCTACCGAGCACTTTCCCACAAGCTGTTAGCTGAAATAAGAGACTACAAAAAAAAACGCCACTATAGACACCACAAGGTTGTCTACAATAAAATGTTTACACAAAGCTCAGGCAAATACCACATTCACTAACAAATGCGACTGCAGGGAGACAATAAAACATGTAAAGAAAAGGCGACTGAACAGCAGGGAAGGGTTCACTAATAGGAGCACACACTAGCCATTCAAATGTGGCGCAAATTTCAAGTGAATTTCGAGTATTCCTCAAAGAAAAATGCAAATGAATGCTTGTTTCCATCCCCTACTGTTGGGACTATTAGGAATTTGTTCATGAGCAGTATGTGGCAGCTATTCGGAAAACCAGAAAAAGAGGACGCAACAAGATGAAGCTCTGAAGCTCAGATGTTGACAAAATGATGTAGAAACAGGATGAAAATATGATCTCATCTGTTTGTTTCAGGAATTGATGTGAGGAAGGGTCCACCGGATCTGTGTGGAGTGATCATAGATGTATTATAGAGCCAGGGGGGCGAGCACTGACTGTCGGAGCGTGAGCAGCTCATCAGTCAGGTCAGACAGTTAAATGTTTGCTACGTCACAGCTTATTTGGAAAAAGTGTTTCCATCTCCCATTACGCGCATTAACCAAAAACAAAACAAAAACCTCAAATGAGCATTAAAAAGTTTTAGCAAAATCCATCAGCCTTCTCTAATGTGATACATTAAATATGTTGATGGAAACACAGCTGTCAAATGTGTTCCAGTGAAGAAAATGTATTTTCCTTATATATAAATAATTACATTACAAGCATTTTTAATGCTTAACTGTAGGTGTTGTTCAGTGTGTGTGTGTGTGTGTGTGTGTGTGTGTGAGGGTAATTTCCCTCCTGAAAGGTGCAATAACTTTGTCTCCGTGTTCTTAAACACAGCACTTAAGACCAGAGTCCGGTGATGACTAACGGTTAATGCTGGACACATAAATACTGTGAGAGAGGGAGAAACAGAAAGAGAGAGCAGGGAGAAGTAAAGGAGAAACATCCATCAACGGGCTCTCCATTACACTCCTCTCATCAGTCCTCATTTAAGGAGCTGTCCTGCCTCTCTCTCTTTATTTCTCTCCCTCCTTCTCCTCCTCCTCCTCCTCCTCTCATTAATGTTCTTTCTCATTGGGGTCAAACGTCAGAGGAGTTAGACGGAACAATGCGGTAAATTCCTGCTGGAGCTCTGGGAAGCCTCTCATTCATTAAACTTGTGTGTGTGTGTGTGTGTGTACCTCGTGGTAGGTATCTTCTAGCTCTCCGTCATAGATCCACCTGTACAGGAAGTTGAGGATGGGGTGTGACACCAGGCTGAGGATGTGTTGAACCAGCGCTCTCATGTGCGGGTCTCCTGTTTTCCCGTAAGAGTGGACTGCAGAGGCCAGCTCGCCTCCTTTCCGACCTGAACACACACACACACACACACACACACACACACACACACACACACACACACACACACACACACACACACACACACACACACACACACACACACACACACACACACACACACACACACACACACGCTGAAATGAATGCTGAAGGGATGTCCTATTCCCCCAACACTACATTAAACACAGGGTGTTGACACACCTTTCCAAAACCAAATACAGTGGCGCGCGCACACACACACACACACACACAAAACCCACCTTGGCAGAAGTCGACAAGGGCGGCCAGCGTTTTGAGTCGGACTTTGGGGTCGTACATCCAGACCAGGAGCCTCCTGAGAGTCAGACTGCTCTCTGTGCACACGTTCACACCCTGCTCATCCTCCACCTGCAACTATAACACACACACACACACACACACACACACACACACACACACACACACACACACACACACACACACACACACACACACACACACACACACACACAGATCAAAAAGGACCAACAATCAGAAGCAAAGCAGGAGATGATCCCGGGGGTATTTACATGTAGGTCTTATGGAAACCATTTCATTTGATATGACTGCATCACAACACATGAAGGGTTCTTTAGTTATATACGTCATTATCCACCATCTTTTGTAGTCCAAGAAATTGTGAACATCCCTTGTGTCTGTGGGCATTAACCTGTTTGCTCTGCGTACCTGTGAGTGGAGGACAGACAGCAGTCTGTAGTACTCCTTCAGCTCCTGATGGAGCGAGGCACAGAAGCTCTAAAGGGGAGGACAAGAGAGACAGAAGGTGTTTGAGCAGGATTAGATACAAAAAGGAGCGGATAGATCCTCAGAAGATAATTAATACATATGGGACACACCTGTCCGACCAGTCCAAAGGCCCGATCGAGGCTCCTGGCATCGGTGTACTTCCTGACTTTGTTGTGGAGCCAGCCGAGCTCGGCCAGTCTGCTGCTGGTGTCCCTCAGGGACTTGCACAGCACCACCTGGTGAGGCGCAGCGCACATTACAACACAACAACCTGCGCTTGTTTATCCATCTTGTGTTAAACAGGAAGCATAGAATTTGTAATGATATGAGAGGAAATGATGCACGTGATGCTCACTGTCCTGATCTGAGCACTAATATTTGCTGTCTGTTCATATAGAGTCACCCTTACATAGTTATTATGTCCAATCAGATGGACGTGAGAACAGTATATTAATTAAAAATGTAACTACACTGAAGTATCATCTGTCACAAATCTCATTGTGAAAGCTCTGACGGAGTTACATCATGCAGCCTTGCAGCAACAGATTTGTTTCCCAGCCAGGGAGGAGTTCACAATGCATTAAACTTTTATCTGTTTTACAAAACCTCTTTACACAGAGAAGTTAAGTGGCCAGAGATGAGTCCAAAATATCTCCATCCTTGACTCATTTATCTCTGGCCTCAGTGGCTCCTGCTACATCAGGATGGTGACAGCAGACTGACCACAGGGCTATGTTTAGCACCACTGAGAATATGGGACAGGTTACATCTGAGGCTTTGCTATTGATAATACAGGAGAGGAGGAGGAGGGGAATAAAAGGAATTGACGGGACAGAGAAAAGAAAAGAGAAAAGAAGAGGTCGATGTGGATTGCAGCCAAAGAGCTTCATATTGATCTGTTGAATCTTGCTTTTAAAGTCCAATCAACAACAATATTCTTGATATCATATCAGGCACTCTGGATATGTGGTGGCCATTACTTCAACAGACGCTCTCAAGAAGAAGAGAGTGAACAGCTAGCTTTAATTTTGTGTGTTTATGGAAAAAAAAAAAAATCTATCGAGAAGTAGCGCTGAAACTAGTTAATTAATTAACAAGTCCATCTACAGAAAATGAATTGAGAACAGTTCTGATAATCAAGCAATCTGTTTTAAAAAGGGATGATTTTCTGTTTTTCATCTCAGTGTAAATTGAATATATTTGGGCGTTGAACAGAACAGGTCATTTTAAATGTGTCACTTTTGGCTCAGGTGCCATTTCTAACTATTTTTTAACATTTGGTAGACTAAACAATTGACCCATCTTAAGCCACGCCCCTTTTTGTAATGTGCTCCAATAACATTTCAGCATGCCTTGGTCAACTTCCTCCTTTCCTGTATTTAGATAGTATTTATATATATGTGTATATATATGTATGTATGTGCCTGCTAACATCTTAAGTTAGCTAAACATTAACAATATGTAAATGATGATAAACTGATGTAACTTACATTAGCTTTCAGACGTAACTAGCTAGCTAACTAGACTAATGGAGATTAGCGAGCTATTAAGCTAACCTTTGATGTTTTGCTAACAATAGCTAACTTAATATAACATAAACGAGCCGGGCACATAGCATATCTAATTTATTAATGATGAAATTACAGATTATTTGTGCCTGAAGAACAAATCAAATTCAATCTAATGCCTCCCGCACCAACCATCAGTGATTTCTTTCCCCCACATTCCTCCCACTGAACCTCCCTCCGTTCTCCTCAAGGTCTGCACCGTCGCTGTGGTTCTGGAATGACCATGACCTGAATTGTACTGTTGGGTTACCGTGGGTAATGTGTGCGAACTGCTGAACTGATTAGTCTATTAAAAGCTTCACAGGGACAGATCCAGGTTCAGGTACCTTGCTGTCTATTTTGTAGCAGTTGTCCTGGGCGCTCATCTTGATGAACTTTCCATCGATTCCCTGGAAGACGTAGAGGATGTCCCGCACCAGCGCCGCCTCGCTCACCTCCCCTGCACCGACAGAGGACGAGAGGACAGTGAATTAAAGTGTACATTCAGAGTTTGAGATGAAAACATTCCAGTCACCATGAAAGTTCAGACTATGATACCGTTTCTTCACACACGTCACTCACCGTCTCGGCGAGGACGGACCACTCTGGTAGAGGGAACTGGAGGTCCGAGGAGTGGTCGAGTGGCGGGCAGGGCCAGAGCGGAGGAAGGGGAGCAGCTTACAGGAAGAGTCCAGGCCAGTCGAGAGCCCAGAGGCTGACCGCCTCCCGCTGCGGACTGAGGGGGTTGACTGAAAAACACACACACACACACACATATTAAACGTTGCTCTGAGGATCAAATATGTATCTTATGATTGTATCTGTGTGGATACGGTCTGATCTACTAGGTGTTGATATTAAATATATTGTGCAGGTCTTCTGCTGGTTGATGCACACAGAACAGCACATAAACTTATTTAAGAAAAACATGCCATAACACATCTTTGCGTTGTGCACTACTGTGTCTTTCTGAGTATAAATTATAACTCAATGCCATGAGACCTTTTTTATGTTTGGAGTGAGGATTTGCCCTTTTCACGACTCAAAGGTGAGCCCAGACAGCTCAATGGTCATTTGTATCCGAAGGACTCCTGAATTATTAACAAGGATAAATGGGATTAAATGGCCTTCTGATGCCTCGTAAAAAACAGATTTAGAGGAGGTCAGGCTGAGAGGCGTGTTCATGTTCTGGTGCTAATTGATGCCTCCTTTATCTGAGTGTTTTTACAGGACGAGCGTCAGATAAATAACCCTCTCCTCCCCAGAGCCTGAAGCTGCTTAAACACAGCTGTGTGACTGAGTTATGAAGATGTAAGTGGGTTCTCTAATATTGATAACGTAATAATTATTGTATATGGACTACATTAGGAAGGGTTTATGGTGCTGTTGTATTCTGCTACATTATATTGTACAATACAACATTACAGGTTTGTTTGTGAGGGGGGAGCCTCATCTGAAAATGCTCACCCGGCCAGCAGCGACTGCGGCGTCGGTGTGGGCCCGTTCAGTGTGTAGACGCCCAGGCTGGAGATTCCGCTGGTGCCCACGCTGGCCGACAGACCTGCGCTCCTCTCCCCGTAGCCCAGGGCCAGGCTCTGGGGCCGGGTGCAGTAGAACGGGGTGGAGTGGGCGTCCCTGGGGAGAGCCTGGGCAAAGAGGGCCCCATAGTTTCCGACCTGTGATGGACAAGACATGGTGAGGACGTCAACCAATCAAACTTTATTTGTATAGCACCTTTTGTACAGGTTACAGGGTTTCTACAAGTTTCAACAGGTTAAAGACATTTTAAGAACTTTTTAAGACCATAATGGACATTGTAAGGACTAAAATTTGGAATATTGGATTTATTTTATAAGACTTTTTTAGGACCTTGCAGACTCTCTCAGTTCGAAATGTTTAACTATAAAAAAAATCTAGATCAAATAAAATAGTTTTAAATGCTATAATATCAAAACATAGTTAAATAAAAGCTAGACTAAAAACTAGATAAAATAGATTCAAAAGACAAAATAAAAAACAAAATTTATAAAAAGGTAGTGACATCAGTATACACATTTTATTATTGATTACTTTTATTATTATTACTACTTAATAGAGAAAAATGTCAATTAATGATTAAATGTTAATAAAACAAATAAACAAATAAAAACAATTAAAGAAAGTAAGTCTAATCAAAAAATACATTTAAAAGTGAAATTAGCCTTTTGATCTTCAGCCATGTAAATGGGATTGAATGAAAGCAAAAAGAAACAGATTCTCAAAAGTGAACCTATGGGAGTGATTGAGACTGTGTGTGTGTGTGTATGTGTGTGTGTGTGTCTCTCTCACCCTGCTGGATGGTTTGCGGGGGTCTTCAGAGAGGCTGAGCAGCAAGTAGAGAACAGACCAGCGATGCTTCAGAACACTCTGTCAAACAGGAAGCACAACACCAGGTAAAAATCACCACAGTCTGTTCAGGACAAATGAATATACAGTGTTATATACAACGAATGTATAAATATGATCAATACTACATTGTGTGTGCATGTTGATTTATGAGATATTGTTGCATCCTGGGTTAAGTGGGGAATAGTCCCATTACGGTTCAAACACAAACACCAACCTGCGTCTGGAGCTTTCTGTGCAGCTCTGAGAACAGCGCAGCGTCTGCTTCTCTCCTCTGCTTCAGCACTGCAACAGCATCAAAACAACATCTGTCAGCTGGGATGTCTGAACGCCGACATTATAGTCGGGAAGTTTGGAGTCATTAATAACTAATTTAATACATGAACTGAGGTTGGAAAACTCCTATCACTCCCTGTGGGGTTTGTCACATTCACATGTTGCACTGCTTTATGACCAAAACAAACTTTTGTCTGTTTATTTGGGTTTTGAACATGGTTTCATTCAAACTGCAGAATAAGAAAAGAAGAATTGATGAATTGCTGAGGAACATCTGTGCTAAGAAAAGCAGACAGCGTGCAGACTGCACAGCTCGCTCTGTTCTGCAGCACAAAGGAACCTGTCAAACAGAAAAGACCTTTAGTGTCTGTATTCATGAGTCTTAAACTGACATATTTCAGGAGCTTTTCAGACTGCAGGAATCCCCGTCTGCATTTCAAAGGGAAGGTGAGGGGTAATTGCTGCCTGATACAATACAGAAAACTTTTGACAGAACATAAACACTGCTTTTAGTTCAGTTCTTCTGCTGGCTTCTGTATTAACATCCAATTAGCCCTCAGCTTGTACCTAAGGCTGATAAATGCTATTTCTGTTGCACTTTTTGTTTGTATTACTGGAATTAATATTCATATGAGTGAACGCAGATGATTGAAGTTGAAAGAATATTTGATTTAAATCACATCAAGAATCAAAATATAAATCCAGTCGACACACGCATTTTTCGTAGTCATCACTCCATAAGCATAAAAAATACTTTTAACAAAGTTCCCATAAGTCCACCTGACAAATAAATAAAGATTCTGTACACTAAGTGCTGCACTATTTTTGTTTTTTTCCTCCATTAAATCTCAGATCGATGTTTTCCCACTAATGCCGCTACCTTGGCTACTATTAAAGTCCACTGGGATTTTGCTATTTATGGTGCAATAAAGATTTTTAACTTTTTTTGTGGAGTGACTCCAAGTTAAAAAGTAAAGTGGACTCTACGTTAACCATCTGACAGAGACAGACGTGGCTGGTGGAGTAGGGACAATGAACGATAGTACAGCAGTCCCGTAACCTACAGTATGAAAGTGTTTGATGGGCACTTACATTCTTTCTTGATCTTCTCTGACACCAGGAACTCATCGCGTTCAATGGTGGGGGCGTAGTTACTGCCAATGACTCGCACTGCATACTGAAACTGGTGGGCGACTTCAGCTGGAGAGAGAAACAAAGTGATGAATAAAGGTCAGGACACATAAACAACACTCTGAAGTAATATAGAAATGACCAACAGCTGTGATCAGCAGATTTTTTTCCTGTGTTTTTGCTCCATTTTCCCCCCATTCATTTTAACTGTGGGACAGTTGTATACCTGTACACTGGTGTGAATGGGCTATTGCTTTGAAAGGGGTTTTTGAATAATGGGACAATCAACAATCACCGTGGCTAACATTTCTGTCAACATTGTCAAACTGAAAATACTTGAGTGTGTCTGATCGTTAAAGTGGCTGAAATACACCCAATCACTTTTGATACTGTGTCCGCTCTCTCTGGTCAAACACGCTAACCCTCCTCTGAACTGTCTGCATCCAGCAGGGGCCTGCAGCTAGCGACACACTAGTGCATCCAATAACCATGCAAACAGTGTGTTGGTCAGCATGAGAGCTAACTGGCTAGCAAGCTCATACATAGCTAAAGTGAACCTCTATGCTTTTGATAAAAAACCACAGCTATCAGTGTAATACAGTGGCAGCTGGCGTGAAGACGTTATCGGGATGAGCAGGATCTGTCCGAGCCCATTGGCTGACAGCTGGTACCCGGACCTAGCCCCGCTACGTGCCGTTGTCCCAAACAGTTAAACTCAATTTATCTCCATTCTCAATCAATCTAATATTTAGACAATTGCTTGTTTATTCGCAAAGACGTTACGAAATGAATACTATGCTCTCTTCAATTCGGCATATGCCCAAAAAACCTAGTAGCATTAATTCCAATACAATTTCAAGGTTTTCTCCATCCCTCCGTCACAAAAACACACCGGGTCCAGCCGGCGCAAGCAGTGTAAAAAAGTTCCATTTATGTTAAAATGTGTCCTGTCAGCTGTGTAAACGATGAGCCGAATTTAACAGTAGACGATAAAGACTCAGCCGATTCCTTTACGTTATGTTTAAAATATGTATGATGAGCAAAATCAAGCGCAACCACAAAGTGCCCATTTTTTTGAATGAGGTTAGCTTTGACATTTCCTGAATACTAGAACATAGCACGTATCTGTGGAGGCGCGGAGCATGCTAGCGCTAACTGATGTACCTTCGCTTTTCCCCGTGATTCTGCAGCAGAGGCTCTGGAGAAGCACATTTGGTGATTTCTGATCCAGGGTCGCCATACTGTCGTGGCTAACTTTGTGTGTGTGGCCCAATAACGGAATAAATACCACTGTACAATATGAACTAACTCCAGTCTCCTACTACGAACAACGCCATTTTGACAAGTTGAGTCAAGCCAGCAGAACGCAGGAAGAACTAGCGCCCCATTTCCTTCAAAGTAAGAGCATAGAAGCTCTCACTCAGTTTGTTAAAGCCTGCATGGCTACCAGAAAGGATGAATAATTAGAATAAAATACCAAACTGGAAGTACTTTTAAATGACACAGACTGTATAAATGAATTGATAATATAGTACAAGGTATTTGAGTCAAGGATTAAAACTAAATTATAAGACAAAGCCAATAAAGAGGAAAGAGAAAACCCACAAGAGGGATTCCCCCTACTGAGGGAATCACAAATGTTTTCCTTCTAAATGATGGCAATTAAACAACACAGGAGCTGTATATCTACTAACAGTTATTATTGTTTCAAATTAATATGGACCTATTTATGGATGTAGACACAACGCAAACATGTGTGCACTTGTCTTTCTCACATGGACCTCCAGTAATCCATTAGACATCACTGTGTAAGGTTTTGTGTGCTGACACTGTCCTCATACACTCCTCATCTGAGAGCTATTACACAAATTAATTAATAATGAATTACACATTTGGCTCTCTATAGCTCTCACAGCACCGGTTTGAATTTGTCTCCTTGGCATGGCTGAAAATGTGAATAGAGATGGATTCAACTATAATACAATAAAAATACTCGTAAAAGTATGACAAACCCAAAATATATACAAATACTTTCAAATTTAAAAACTACAAAACTTCCAATGTAAAATAATTAAAAACTAAATAACTGAATGGTATTTCGACCCATTCTAAATTACTATAAACTGTATGTGTGCTCGTAACAATACTTCTTAAAGAAAGTTTAACCTCGCTTGACTAAGGGTTATATTTTGAAGGTTCCAACCGGATACAGTGGCTGTTATTGTTGTACCGTTGACGCTGGTGTTTCAACAGAACCCGCCGAAAAGCGTCTCCAGGAAACAGAGAATGGACAAATGAATGAAAACATTTCCCTCCGGAAACAAAGCACCACGGTTTGTAGTTCTGACCCTTCTGACCTCACCAAACAGTCAACATTTACAAACTGATAGTGCCATTACTATTTAATTTAATTTAATCAGGACATTTCATGCGAAGAATCATGTTTAAACCGTGCTAATAATTGGCTGTACCACACATCAGATTATGTCAGAGGAATATTATATTATATTATTTTCTGATATTTTTTAATAAACATTTTTCATACTGGAAAGTAGTCAGGTGGGGTTAACAGATTTGTGTTAGATTTTTTATTTTTATTTCAGTACTATCTGAGTGGACAGCATTAACCTGGACCCCTGCCCCACCGCACACACACACACACACACACACACACACACACACACACACACAATAGTGTAGCCTACACTTAGTGCGTTTTTCTGGATTTCAATAAAGTTTTAGTTGATTTTGTCTTTGGTACACCATCACGCCCCGAGCAAAAAATAAAAATCCCCCCCAAAAAATCAATCAATCTCCTAATTAACTGAAACGTCCAATCAATTACACACCCGAAAACACCAGAGTGCGCATGCGCTCACCTCCAGTCAGCGGCACCACCTGGCTCCTCGTGACGTAGATGAGAGAAAAGCTCCTTCTGCCGCGGCGCGAGACAAGAAGATTATTAGTACACGCGCAGTTGGGGGGGGGAGAGGGAGCGCGAGAGAGGTTCAGAGACTTGACAGTAGTTTGTTCCCAGGGTGAGAGGAGGAGCAGCCCACTAGTCTGTGCCTGTAGCCGCTCAGACAGACACTCCTCCCGCCGCCAGTAGAGCCTGTTACAGCCTCCAGGAGGTGAGTGCAGGTTTACAGTTCTTGGGAGCAGCTTTATCGGACCGAGACTTCTTTTTTCTTAATTCAGGAAGAAGCGAAGGGAGTGAAAGTCATGGACCAAAGAGGAGAACTGAAAAGAAGTTAGCGCCTGTAGTAAAACAACCTTTGGAGAAACGACTCAGAGAGAAGAAGTAGTGTCCGGAGAGGAAAGAGGAACAGGATGGGGATGGATTTCAGCACTCTTCGGACCCTCATCAGCAGATATGTAAGTTTACGCTTCCTCCGTGTGTACTCTCATTTTTATCTTATTCTGCCCACCAAAGCTCTTTACGGTTTCCGAAGATAAAAAGAAAACGTGTGAGCTTGTTGGTTTCAAATTCCGCCGAAGCAGCTACTCATCCGGATTAAGTTTCACTGGCGAAAGGGAGTGAAAAAATCTCATTGGGAAACTGCCTGAATAAAAGATCACTATTAACTAGGACTCTTTTTATAGGAAGTCATGGTTTTGTTTCTAAATGTGTTTATTTCCACATAAAACAATGGCCGTTTGAAGTTAACACTTAGACAAGAGTGCACAGTCGCTGAAATGAAACAAAAACCGCTGCAAATATAATGTTTTAATGAATTTTCAACTTTATAGTGGATTATTCATCTTCAGTTGTAACATACCCCGCGGTAGGTTGTACATCTATATTAAAAAGTAGTTTAATTAATAAAAGTGTTGTTTGGAAAGTATTTATGTTGATATAAGATCCAGTATCCAGTATTTTGCCGATAACCGACGGTATGTTAAAACGTCCGATTTTTGAATGGGATTTGGCGCACGTAAAATGTGTCAACTATTGTTTGGCTTTTTAAAAATATAGTATATTTATAATAAATACTGAGCATTTCTGTTCAAACACACCAGCGTTCAACCATACTGATGCTTTAATAAGTGAAAGGTGGAGTCAGCTAACACTATCACCAGCTGTAGTGCAGTATTGTGTATCATGTCGGTACATGCCAAGAGATGCAGACAGACTGCAATTATCATTCATCTTGACATATTGACAAGTGGCAGACTCAAAATCTGTGAAATCTTTAGACTGTGATGAGGTGACATCAGCTTTGAGCACAACCAGAAGCATCTTATTTGGTAGTTTTTACTTTGTGTTAGAAGGATTTCTTTTGTAGAATTAACTCATTGGTGTGCTGGTCACTCTAAAAGATCTTGCTCCTTCTCCCACTTGTACAAAGACTCCTGTACAAATGGAACAGTCAGTCACATGAATTATGTAATCCAGTTGTTTTCTCCCTGCTAGTCAAATCAATGGGCAGCAGTGCAGCAGCTGGCCTTTATGGACCTGTGAGTTGCATTAGGCTCCACAGTAATGTGTTTGACAATAATCCACACAGAGTGAGCCCTGCTCACATGAGAGCCAGCGAGGTTTATGCCCCGGCTCCACGCTCAGCTGAGGCTTAGACGCGTCTCCCAAATGGCTGATTAAATAAAATCCCTGCTGCGTGGAGGGTGAAATGGAGCCTTATAGTAAGAAACATGCAGAGACGAGGCAGTGACTGGTAGGATGTGGGATGCTGATGAGGTCTGCTGCTGTAATTGATCTGGATAACTGCTTTAGACAAATGGGTTAGGGTTAAATTGATTGTATTGCAGCGGCAAAGACCCGGATGCAAAGAGACTGCTGAATACTTAAGATTAGGGTTAGGAACGTTCATCTGGTTGTCAATACCGGACCTTTATGGAATATTAATCAATACTGGGAGCCAGCGCTATAAGATGCTCCCTCTGACCACATCTGTAGAATGAAACTAATTATAAATGCAATCTTTATTTAAAAGCCTGATAGATCCATTTGCTATACACTAAAGAATGCTCATGTGAAATATCAGTGATTTCTATCTTAAAGTAAAAAAAAAAAAAAGAATCCAGCATCTCAGCATGTTTTACACCAGCTTCTCATGCGCCTTTGATGGTTTTTAGGTTTTAAATTACATTATTTGTTTTGGCAGAATGTCAAAAGTAAGGGATTGTTATTAAAAAGATTTAGTCTTAGAGCAATTAAAAGTGCTGATTTTATTCTAGTTTTTCAGTTACGTAATTTTCACTTTGTAATAGTTTTGTAATTTAGACCTCGTCCTGAACTAAAGTGTTTCAAAGTCTTGCAAGCAGCGTAAATGTATCACGTTGAAACCAAATAATAGGGACCACAACATCCCCTAGTATCCACGATAACAACATTCTTTCCGAAATGTGTATTTGTAGTTTTTAATCCAGAAACCAGTCGGCTTTATGGACAGCCTTTCCGCTTTGAGCATGTTGAGATTTGTCTTTTATCAACAAATAAATGTGATTCACATGAAGGGACATTTTCTACGCAGTGATTTCACAATAACTGAACAATAAACAGAATAGGATCCAACCGACTGTGTTGAATTATCTTTGAGTAATTTTCAGCATTAAAAGTAATTATTTTGTTTTTACTCTGTTCAGTGCACCGATAACGGTCAAATAATCAAATTAACTGCTTATTATCTACAGTGCACCTTTAGTCTGGAGCCTGTAAGACGGTGTACAGGGATGTCGCTGTCTATGATGTGATAAAATGATGGGAACGGTAATGAGAGCAGCGATGGCAGGAATAAGGAGCAAGAGAGGGCAAGATGAGAAGATTTTACCCCGTAGATTGGCTCCGTCATGTGATTTAAAAACAGCTGATTTCTTTAACAGCGGGGTCATCATAAACCAGCAGGGAGTCTCTGCCTTGCCTGTTACTGTTATCAACTTGTTATTATGTTGATCAGATTGCACAACAGTATGTGCCTTCCTGTCTTTCAGTGTAAGGTTTAAGTCTCCTGTAATAAATTAAATCTTTTCATCAAGAACATTTTATCTGTAGACAAGGTTTTAGCCCCTTTTTTTCAAAATAAAACTAATGAAATTTAGCTGAGGCCACATTGTACCACATCGGATACCAGTCGAACTGTTGCAGGGTTACTCGGTTTTGAAAGTCTCCAGTTGCTGCCGTCTCTGATGAGGTAAAGAGGCAGGGGATGTTATGCAATCCTATCTATGTTTTAAAGTGTAACATGTAGAGTAGTGATCTCAGTGGCTGTCGCTCCTGTCTGGCTGAATGAGAACAAAATGTAATCACAGTGACATGTAGGAGCACTGAGACCCAGTGTGCTTGTACTGTACTCTGCCAGCTCGCTCCCATTCTTTTGTTCTTTTCTCTGGGTAGTTTCATGCTCTGAAAGTTTTAAAAGTAACATTTATTGTGCTAAATTATAGACTCTGCAATCTTCAGTGCCGAAATGAGTCTTGTTTGTTTCCCCGTATATACTTTTCTTCTTGTTGCATGTTCACATCTGTGTCCTGACTTTCCTAAACACGGTCATCATAGTCCTTTAACTGTTTATTTCCTTTTGTCCTTTTTTTATTTTGAACTTTTTGTCCATGTCCTCTCAGCTGTTTTTCTTTATTTGGGTTTTTTTTTTTAAATAATTCCTCCTCTAATTTTTTCGTTTTTCCGTTTTCATCATTGTCAGTTGTGGAGCCCTGGTTCCCTTTTTACTATAGAAAGAAGAAACACATTTACCACATTGACACACATAGTGGTTGTTTTAAAGGAAGTGCAGCAGAAATGAGGTGCTACTAATCTCTTGATGGTTGCCCATGTGTGGGTGACAAAGTGGTAAAACCAGTGTGTGCCTCTCATATGTAGCAACAGTGCTAATAAGAACAGTTTTGGTAGTTCTATTAAGAAATCAATGGCAGTCAAGGCAATTGTACACGATGAACTCAATGTTAACTAGAGCTGCAGTGATTAGTAGATCCATTGATGAGTTGTCGTTTTGAACCATTCTTTAGGAATCTTCAGCTGAAATGTGGATATTTTCTGGTTTCTTTAGTCCTCTCTGACAGTGAACTCAATATCTTTGGGTTGTGGACAAAACAAGTCGCCACCTTGGGCTTGGGGAAACGGTGATTAACTTTTTTCACCATTTCCTGATTAATTTAGAATCGATAGATTAATAAATACTGAAAATAATCGCTAGTTGCAGAGTGTCAAACTTGAATTCAAATTTGTATTATGTTTATCTTAATCTGAATACATAATGCAATCTAAAGTAAACAGAACTAGTTTGCAGAAAGATATCATCAGATATCATCTGGCGAGGTGTGTTAAAAGCAGCCGGCTAGCATTCCTCTGCGGCTGACTAATCTGGATCCCAGGACAGGAAGTGCCTCCCCTTTTTCTCTCTCTCTCTCTCTCTCTCTCTCTCTCTCTCTCTCTCTCTCTCTCTCTCTCTCTGTCTGGCTTCCTGCCTTCCCGTAGTGGATTAAAGGGTTACTGGTGTTCACTATACCTTCAACCACTTAATCCAGTTTACAGCTATACTTTCAAATCTAAGCCAATCACTGAACTCCTGCCACTCATATTCCACCTGCTATATTTTCTAAATAGTACATATGTTTTCCTTTAGTTTCAACACAGTAGTAAGCTGATCTGTGCATATGAGGTAAGAAAAACTGCTGAGAGTAAGAATAGTGGCTGGTGATCATACTGTTGTGTCTGCAGTGTTACGGTTACTTCATGCAGGCTAGTGAGTGGGGAGGTGGAATACTGTAGTAGCCAGGTGACGCAGAGGGCAGCGGATCACATGAACTCTTGGCTCCGTTTAGTTGTCAATAATTTATAAGCAGACTGGCTGACAATGTGGACTGATGTTTGTGTAGCTTTTAATGGAGTCTTCCACAGCAGGGCTGCTCAGCGTGGGGTCCAGGGATACCTGGGGGTCCTTAAGGGGATTCCACAGGGTCCCCTGGCAAAGTGAGGAACAGATAAATGTCATTAAGGTTGACTTACATTGACATTGTACCAACTTCAGACAGCACACATATTTTAATTACAGGTTTTTAACCACTAAATACAATGTAGACTAGTTTTACAAACAGTGATGTGGTAAATTAAAAGTCAAATCATGACAAAAACATGCGATACCACCACACTTTATTTATTAAACAGACCGAGTACTTCACTTCTGGTCTTTTTCATGATTAATTGTCATTACTGGCTTTTCTGATGCAGCTGTCCCCCAAAAAGTTTAACAAGACTGCAGAATTACATCTTCCATACTACAGGAGAAAAACCATCTCTTGAGGCAATAGTTAATTATAAGGCCCTTGTACAGGTTGGCACCGAGTCTTAAAAAGTCGAAAATCCAATAATCTGAAATTGACGCCTTTTCAAAATGTCTTTC